TATTGGTGAGGCTGGGAGAAGTAATGATTGTGTATCAGGCATGACTTGGGATAATAAGCAAATTTGTGGAGATGAAGTATGAGCTGCCAATTACCAAGATCATTCTTGTGGAAATCTGTAGTTTGGTACAGAGGAGAAAGGAGGAGGACCTGGGAATGAATCTGTTTTCAATTGATGACAAATGGGGTGAAGGTTTTTGTAATGGGGAAATTCTTTGAACTTTAGGTATACTGGTACAATGGGGGAACATTTCTCAGTCCTCACTACAATGTACTGTGATCTGCTCTGCTTATTGAATAAAGCTTTTCTGGATCTACTGAAGGCTTGTGTTCCTGGAGTTAGCCTGTACATTACACCATGTCCCAGACCCCACACCAATTTTATTTTACTTTTTAAAACAAAAACTAACATCAAAATGCCACCACATTCTCTAGGGGGGATGCAACAATTTCACCATTTTTTTGGGTCTACTCTCAAACTGTTTTATGCCCAGCAGAATCTTTTTAAAGAGGAAGTAAACCAGAAGTCATCTCTCAGTTTACTCTCTTTAAACCAGCCTCAGGGATGGGAATGTGGTAAGATTACCCCCTAGATGATATGGGGATATATTTATTTATTTATTTATTTATTAAAAATGGACAGTATGGAGCCACAAAATGCCCCTGTGGGCATTGTATGGGCCTCGGCAGAAGGCTAATTGAGCCGTCTTCTGGGCCTGGAAGAGGAGGGGCAGCTGCACGAGCGGCGCCCCCTCCTCTTACTGAGGTCGCCCTCGGAGTCGCCGGCCGTTCGCACGGCCGGCGCTCTGGGGATGACCTCATGCCGTGGCAACCGGACGCGCCACGGCGTTTGAGTCAGGGAAAGTGCGCCCGCCGCTTTTAGGGCGCACTTTCCCTGAAATCTAAAAGGAGCGCCAATTTGGAGCTCCTTTTAGATTTGCCGCAGGAGCGCCATGGTGCGGAGGCTGAGCTCCGCCGGCGCTCTGACCCGCGGCGTCTCCGGGGCCTCCGTCTGCCGAGGCCCTATGTTCCTTGAATAAAAGAGAGTGGCCTCAGCTAAACCCTTTCTTTTAAAAGTGTTTTGAGAAACAAAAACAATAAGAAGATAAAAATGTGTTTGAAGTAGCACATTTAGCTTTGTCTGGCTGAAATGAGTGGCATGTGCCAACATTTACATCCCTGCCAATCCTCTAGTTAGGTGAAACCCAAACCTTCATTGGTTGGCAAGTGGGATTTACTATAGCCATATACAGCATCCAAGGAGGTTAGAAAAGCGGGTGCAAGAATAGGGATGCAGCTCTTGCTGAAGATGCAGGTCCAGAGTTTGGGTGTCCTCCTAGATACAACCCTGAACCCGGAAGCCTAAGTTTCAGTAGTGACCGGGAGTGCATTTGCACACTTAAGGCTTGTGTGCCAGATGCATCCATTCCTTGAGACATCACCCTTAGCCAGGGGTCAGCAACCTACGGCCCACGGGCCGGTTCCGGCCCAGAACGCCAGATTTACTGGCCCAGGCG